TTTTTAAAGATTTTGTTGCTGTCTATTATAAATGCAGTCATTTTGATGTATCATTTCGACTATAAATGAATCACAGAAGATGGGGGTTTTTTGCTTTTTCTCTTTATTTCATTCCTTCTTATTACAACTTTCTATTGCTTTGTTGGGTTCACCGGTCCGGACGCTCCAGCCGACTGGCCGGGTACTGCGACCTTTCAAGTCAGGTCGTCGGTTCCTTGACAACAACTTGAGGTTGCAACGGGGTGCACGTCCTTCGTAAGTCGTCCTGGTCGGCACGCTACACGGGAACGATCGACGATGCCAGACGGGATTGTCACTGGTAGACACACTACGCTAGATAAAATATCACCTCCAGCACAGACACGGCGGCCTTATATAGGCTGCTTTCGCGCCAACGCACGACCTACGTAGGAGAGGTCATGATGCGACAGCTTTCGAGTTTTACCTGTTTTATCTCAAACGAGTATCGGGAGAACTCTCTTCCCTGAGTGGTTCAGATCGACAGAGTTACGCTGGATCTGTCCGGAGTACAAGACAGGCTACCGCTTTTCTTGTAGCACAGATCAGGTCACCGCCGTTTTAGTAGCACGAAATCCACTACCAGTCGAGCAATACCAGCTACCAGTAGGGCTAGTGTTGGGAATAAACTCTGGCATGACGAACGACTATCCTCGGGAGTGAAGAGAACGAGCTCAGCGTGACGAATGGACGGTCAATTTCCTCCTTCGATTTCGTAAAGAATGAGGAAAAATGGGTGATAGGTGGGATTAGATCGGCCCAATCGCCTTTACAATCTCAGTGAATATCAAACATTAAACATGAGAAATCGCAATACATTTTCAAATACAAAAAACAAGAAGCTTTTAAGATGAGGGCGGCGATAACCGCTTTACCGTAAATTATCGAGGAAATAAACAATTTCTGTTTAGCGGTCGTTTTTATTTGAAAATAATGACGGAGCTGTTCAATGAGTAATTTTCCCGCCAGAAATTCGAAATTGCCCGTACACGAGAACCACGCATGCCGGGGAACTGAATTTGGTGTCAGAAATATCATGAATGTATATGTCATTATCACCATCCATGATCTTCAAAGTACAAATTCCTCGGCTTTACCGACACCGAGATTAACCGTGTAAATTTTCAGGCATGACTTCATCATCATCATCTGTGGACAGTGATCGATTTCAGTTTGCTGAAATGAATATCAGACATACGGGTAACATGACAAGGACAATAACAATGGTGCGGCGAGCCATACGAATGGGTTATGATTCGATTGTGATCAATACGGATGTTGGTCAGCTGACACAGGATATGGCAAGTTTGGTAAGTTTTTTTTTGTTGCAAAACCCCCTTTTCCCTTTGCCCCCCCCCCTCTCCCCCTCAGCTAGACTTTGATTGAAGATAAATCAGAATTAAGATGATAAGAATATGAGATAATTTATCAATCTTTTAACAAAAATATAGGTGGCTATTTATAGTTCAGACAAATCAAATTTTTTAATTATTTTCCAACGGATTTAAATTTTTTTAACATTAGTAATAGTAGAATAGAAGGATTGGTCTTAAGTGTCATGTGCCGGAGGACATTTTACGATCTAGTTAATCTGTGTTTCATCCCTTAGCTGTAAAAATAGGCTGTGCAATGTATGCGGGTAAAGTTTTTTTTTCAAAAAATCAAGTTTTTTAAATATTTTCCAGCGGATTTAAATTTTATGTTAGGAATAGTAGAATAGAAGGATTGGTCTTAAATGTCATGTGTAAGAAGACATTTCACGATGTAGTTAGTTTGTGTTTCATCCCTTAGCTGTAAACATAGAACGAGCAATGTATGCGGGTAAAGTTTTTTTTTTTCTTTGATACTTCAGAACAAAGTTTTTTTTTTGTTTTGATAATTTAAATAGTTATTGTTATTGTACTCTTTATCATCAGCGTAGCTAGCTTACTCGATTTTTAGCTCACCGCACCTACATACTTTCATTATTTTTCGACCAAACCCATGACATTCATATAAATGTCGTGTTTGATGAATATATGTATCGTATCATGCATGCTGCATGATGCCATTTTATGTTTTGTTTTCAAATAGAAGAATAGAAGGATTTCACTTGAATGTCATGTGTACCCGAAGACATTTTATGACGCAGTTTGTGTTTCATCCCTTAGCTGTATACAGAGACCGAACAGTGCATGCGGGTAGGGATGGGAATCATCAGTACAGCCTCCTACTTGCCATATTTTGAATAGTCATGTAACTGATTTGCAAGACGGATGAGAGGAAGAAGTAGATATAAGTTGCCTAGGTTGCTTTGTCCATCTGTTATTTTTGATACATCTTACCTTATTACTTGCATTTTAGTGTTTTTATTGATGTTTCATTTTAAATTCAGCGTTTATTTCTAAGGCTTAACTTATAAATAGAAGTAAGAGAGGCCATAGAAGGCCAAACCAAAATTGGACGGTCCAAGCAGGGGGCCGCCGAAGAGGGTGAAATTGTCAAGTGGTTTTTTGCAACCGTTGGCGGGGATAATTATCGATTCTCTAGAAAATTATTTTCGATGTTTTTTAGGGCGATGGTCCACCACGTAAAAAGAAAAAAGGTAGCAACAAGCAACGTAGTGTGATCCCGGATCCCGTTGTCATCGATATCAAAGAACTGGACACAAGCACACTGGAAGCAAATAACAAACGCCTTAGGATATTCAGGTAAAGTAGCCTGTTTGCATGAAATTCACCTCACTTTGGCTTATACAAAACAACTAAATATAGTAGTTTTCTTATAATTTATTTGTTTATTGCTTTCCGTTTCTTCGTTATTGTTCCTGTTTAATCTTTAATCTTTACTCTTCGTATTTGTTTAATTTTTATTTCCTAAATAGTAATTTTTTCTTTTATTTTTTTAATATTTTTAATATTACCTAAATAGTATTATGTATTGGTTTTTATATGAACCAATACAGCTAGTGCCCCCCATTCGATGGCCCTGCTTCTCAGCTGAAAGGATGATTGGTTGCCAAAGCCGGATAACTCTGGTACAATGTCGGGGCGCAAAATCAGTTGCAGGGGACTTGATTACTGGTCAAGGTCTTGTAACCAGTAGAGCAGGCCATCTCATTCGTACTTGTTTGATCTTTATTTCCTTGGTTTTTATTGCTTCTGTCCCTCTTAAATATTATTTTCTATATTTTAAAATACTGGAAATAAAAAAGTGAATTTACAGTTCTTATTAGCTTTCTCTTGCAGCCTTTTTATAATTTTGAAGTCTTTTCCTATTATAACTTTTTGTTATAGTCGTTAATATTAAGCTGGAGGCACAGGATTTACAAGTAATATATTTAGCAGACATTTGAGGAGGCCCATGTGTTCATACTTTAGCCGTAAACACAGACAGAGCTCTAGGTGCGGCTGGGAGGTACGAAGCATTTTTAAGTCAGGAGAGAAGGCAGTTTTATATCTGCAAAATATGATCAGATCAATTTTATTGCAAAGTATGGTGTGTAACCAATGGTTTTGTGGCTGCTCTGTACCTTAACCTAAAACTTCAGGTCTTGACTAATGCTCACTTCATTTACAAATTTTGTAATTCTCATCTCCTACCTTTGTAACTCTATAATTTCATCTATTTCTGTCCTTTCACTAATCCTTAACACTTCGACCTACTTCCCTCCACTCATTAATTTCTAACAGTTCCACCAAATTCTAAATAATTCCATCTTCTCATTTACTAATTACCGTGCCGTCCTTTTCCCTCCATTAATTTTCCCTATATAAACTCCTTCTGGAAACCTTAAACTTTTAGTCTCGGAAACAACGCGCGTCACTGATCTGCCACGTCCTGCCCCAACTAACACTACTAACTGGCTGCCTCAACACGGCTAGCGTACCCGTTGTGCTGGAATAGCTTGTGCGGTGTCCCGGCTCGTTTTATTTGAATTGAACCTTTTTTTGGAGAATAAAGTACTGGCACTCTTCGCTGTCTTTCGCTGCTGCAGTCAAAAACCACGTGAGGACCTAACACTTTTTTTATTTTTCCTCTTTTTTCATCCAATGTTAATATACCGTATTTTTAGTCTATTATATCTCCTGAGAATAATGTAAAAATCTTAAAAAAAATGTAAACTTTCCGGCATTTTCATCATCTTTTCTTCCATTTTTCTATAATTTTGAAAAAGGCGAATTTCTTCATCCGGGAATTTCTTGCTTATTTTTTAGCGAATTTTTGATTTGTGGGCAAGTAGATTGCAGCTTCCAGGTCAATCCTGGTGGGATGCGCAAATGCAAGAGAAAGTAATGAAGGTTGGTGGTGAGATAAGATGTTTGAGATAAGACGCAAACTGAAAATGTTTAGCCGTTTAACTGCGACAATATCGGATAGCACAGATGTGCATATATTAATGCATCATCCACAGCTTCAAAATTACGATATCGTTGCTGTTCGACCGGCCGATGAGCAGATTCTGCAGACATTCAGCAGGAAAGGTGAATTTGTGGACATCATCACTTATGAGCAAGCTTCAACATCTGTTTCATGGTTGTTTAAAAGTAAGGTAAATTATTATTTTGCATCTTTTTTTGCTAAAGTTTTTTTTTTTTTCAGTTTACTGGGTAACATAGGTATTTAAGCAATGGACATCCTTTGTAATTTCCTATTCCTTCCTGTCCTCCTTCCCTCTAATGCTCTTCTCCTACTTTGCATATATGTTGTCAACTTTTCCAAATGGTGGATTGGGGGCTGCACTGACGATTCCCACTCCAATCCACACCGAATACTGTCTGTGTTTGCAGCTTAGGGATGAGACAAAGACAGCCAAGTTTACATTTAGCCTTCCTGCAGGTCCACATTACATCTCCTGAACATTTTTTTGCAAAATATGCTCTCCACTATCTCTTTCACTACTTGATTTCGTGGTTTTCCCTTCCAATCCATTTTGCCTCCAACGGCTGTCAGTATAAAAGTTAGATATTCTAGTTGAGTCATTCCAGCAACAGATTGCAACTTACATGACAAGCATGTCAGAATTATATTTGTTTAGCTTCTTCGGCGATTGTAGAAGGAAGATACCATCGTCTTACTTGCTGGGAGGGAGGGAAGGGTGGGGAGGAGGGGGGACGGGTTTTTTTTGTTGAAGAAATGGTAAACATTCAGATTAGTTTGGAGTACTTCTACTCACACAGTGATTTGTAGAGGATGAGGAAAGCGTTGATTTTGAAAACGAATAGATTTGTGAGTAAATAATAGGCATGAAAATACTGGAGAATTTGAAATTCCATTTAAATGTGCCTTTTTTTTGCAGATCATTATGCAGTGTATCAATGAAGGCTTAACATTTGAAGTTACATATGCAGATGCTTTAAAAGATAGCAGCCAAAGACGAGAGGTAGGTTTAGGTCACTGCAACATGGCACTCAGAAACGAAATAGCCTTCAGATTTTTAAGTCATTTTTATGCTTTTTTTGCATCTATGCAATGCAGAAAACGCATATTGACGAGGGACTGCCTATGTGTCCGTGTGTCTGTTTCTCAGTGTGTACGTCTGTACCGATTTTCCATCTCAAGGCCTATTAAAAGCTACAGGGTTGAAATTTTGGCAACTTAATCTACATGCAAGTACGGGCCCCAATCCCCAAAATGGGCACCCTTACCCGCGTAGTATCCATGTACTGGCCCTCCGAAGTTTTTTACGGGCAAGCTGCTAACTCGAGAACCAGAAACGCTGGAAGGATGAAATTTTAAGGTGGCGTTCTCCGTTAATGAGCTCAAACTTTGCGCTCGGTTATGCATGGTACCCACGTACAGGCCCGTGAAAGTTTTTCTTTCAGATAAGTTGATAACTCGGGAACCTGAGAAGCTAGAAGACTGGAATTTTGAAGGGATGTTTCCTGACAGTCCTGGCGGCCAATCTGAAATTCTTTTAGCTAGAAGCATCTGCCGGAAAAACCAGTGTCGTTAGCGACAAAAATCAGCAGGGAACTGTGCAAAAAAAGCATCTTCACACGGGCAGCCCGTGCGTTGGTGAATTATTTTTGATTAACCTTCAAGTTTTTAAGGCTTTTATGGCAGAAACAGAAGGTGCTAATTTTGTTTAGTCCAAATTAACAACGCTTTTCTTTTTTGGCGGTAGAAAAACAGAAGAGCTGCTTCCTTCTCCTTTCTGAATAATCAGTCTCCGCTTTTTCCAGGTATTATCAAATGCTCGGCAATTAATGCTGTCAACCCGAGGTGGACGTGGAGTGGTCATTGCAAGTGGTGCCGAAGCGATGATTGATATCAGAGCCCCATACGATGCTGCAAATATCGCTGTTCTGTTTGGTATTCGCCCCGAAAATGCCCGAAGACTTGTTTCTGGTAAGCGAATTTCCGTCAGATTCCGTCGATTTTTACCTTTTTTTTCACACTGATTGATGCTGTTATCATGATTTTATTCAAGGAAATGCAAGAAAAGCATTGTTACGCGCGGAATCGAGAAAAACGTTGAAAGCCGGAATGTTAGTAACAACAGTCGAAGAAATGCCCGGAAATCTCGTAAAACGTATGAATGCAATTGAAAAAATCATGCGGATACCTGAATTTCGAGCTCAGCTGCAAAACGAAAAGGATGAAAGGGACGAGGAAATATCGCTTGAAAAGATAGAAAGTTAAAGCAAACATTTTTCGAAATGAGTAAATTTTGTTAAATCGGATTTTTTGATTCTTTTTTTTCCGAATAACTCTGTTATTTGTTTCTGTCTGAGGGAATGCTGAGCTGGAAATCCCTTGAGAAGACGGACCGCAGAGCTGCCAGCAAGCCATGGGCGGATCCAGGGCGGTTTTTTGGGGGAGGGGTGACGGAAAGGGGAGGGGGGACGAGCGATCTCGAAGACAGTTTTCTTCACTTATAGCACTACCACCTGTGCCGATGGGGCGGGGAGGGGGGGGAGGAGGGGAGGAAGGCTCATCACTCCCCCTCCCCTCCACGCCCCTTTAGATCTGATAATGTAGCAAGCTAATCATTTGGCGATGTAGCATTGGTCAAGCAAATGATGGGGTTGGGAATCGCAAATAGTTAAGGAATGAGATTCTGAAATACAGCTAATGTCATGCGGCAAGTGTTTTGGAAATTTTAAAAAAATTGAAAAATGTAAACGTTGGATGTTTGTTTGGCGCTGTAGGCCAGCCGACGAAAGGGACACAGTCGAATATTGTCAATTGTGGGAAAGCAGTGAGTGCTATTTAAGATACCCAGATAAGCGAGCCTGGATGTGCATTAGCTGTTGTCCTATCCGTGTTTCATCCCTAAACTGTAAGCACAGACAGCAGAGACGGTGTGGAATGGGGTGGGAATCATCAGTACAGTGCCCCACTTCGCCATCATTGCTTTCATTATATCACCAACGCGGATATAATAGACACACTATTGGATATATGTTCAAATTCTTTAATTCGATATAGACTACATTTTACTAAATATTTCTATCCAAACCACATTAACTTCAATAATATCCTTAATATGCTCTCCATTTTTTAGCCCTTTCTTATTATCAATTTTACTATTATTTATCTACCATATCGACTTATTTTTTCTTTTTTCTGATTCCTTTCACAGCCCGACTATTCCACTACCCTTCATCTTCCTTTGTTATGCATTGTGCTGCTCCCGATCTTTAGTCCCTGCCCTCCTTTTTGATTTTTAATATATGTTACAGTATTTTCCTAAAATTTTTCTTTAAATTTTAACTGGATTTTTCCTGTTCTCGTGCTTCTACTTACGGGTGTAAGGTTCTATCTTTATTCTATTTATTTTACAGGTCCTACAGTGGTTCCATATCCATAATGGTGGAGGTTTGTTTTACCAAATGCACTAACCTTTTTTACATTTTCCAAATTCTTTTTTGCTTCTAACACTTTGCATGTTTATTTTGCTGCAGCCGTCACACTGACGAGGTCCATTTGCAGCACTGATCAGGAATGTATGCGACTTAATGGACCGAAACATTCCTACTCAGGTTTTTTAAACCGATTTAGCTTATTCACCTTTCTTTTATCCCTTTTAACCCTTACTTTTTACATAAACACGCATTATCTAAAACTAAAATTACAATTGAATGAATATGTGACTTTCCGATGGAAGATGAAGGAAGAAAGAGAGGATGTGGAGGTGACTCTGCGTAAAATAACTGTTAAGAGATAAATAAACGTGCAGGAGATACGTAAAACTAACGTGCAGCAGATACGTCTCCGTCTTCGTTTTTTTGCCGGCGGTTCACTTGATAGTGCCATTTTAGCTAAAAACCATAAACTTCATCAATTCAAGGGCCGTATGTTCTGTAGTAAAAACTAAAGCAGCATTATATTTTTAAAGCAACATTATATTTGTGATATTTACTTATAAGTTTTTGCATAGTTCCAGGGTGGAAGGGGGAGGGGGGGAGGGGGATAGCACCCTCAACATCATCGCCTCACTCACTCTCTCTCCGGTGCCCTCCCCCTCTCCCGCGCAGGGATCCACCCTGGGATCGTCTATGACACGAAGGATTTTGTTTTTGCTGAATTTCATTGTGATGTTGTTGCTGTTTTTGATTTCGAGAACTGTTTATTTTTTCTAAATAAAAATTTCGATCAGATGAAATCATCTTCGTGGTCATTTATGTGTTTGAGCTTATTTTTTGCAGTTTTCTTCAGATGTATGCCGTTGACTGCTGATTTTACTTTTATAGGTTATCGCTTTCATAAGATCCGTTGACATTTACTGGTTATTATGCGTTTTGTGCCGTGTAGCAGTACAAAACGGGGCTGTCTGTGTATGTGTGTCCGCAGCAACTTGTCCGCAACTTTCAACTCGGGAACCGCAAAAGCTAGGAAGCTGAAAA